TGAAGGTTTTTTAGGACTAATAGGTTATTATTAGCGTTTTGTTCATAATTATGGTATTATAGCTCGAGTTTTAACTAATTTGATGAAAAAGGATAGTTTTCATTGGAATTCTCAAGTTGAAAAAGCATTTCTCCAATTAAAACATGCTCTGACTTCTGCTCTAGTTTTATGTTTACCAAATTTTAGCCAACCATTTACAATGGAGTGTAATGCATCATTAGCAGGAGTGGGTCCAATACGAATGTAGAAAGAGCATCCTATTGCTTACTTTAGTAAAGAATTTTCTTATTAAATCCACTTACAGTTGAGAATTGTTAGCCTTGGTTTTAGCTTTGCAAAAATGGAAGCATTGTCTATTGGGGGCGTCTTTTTTGTGAAAATTGCTCATTGCAACTTGAAATACTTACTGAATAAGAGACTAACTACAAATGGACATTAAAGGCTCTTAATGAAATTGCTTCCATTTTATTTTAATAAATTTTTTCAAGTCTAAGAATGAGAACAAGAGAGCTAATGCACTATCAAGACACCCTCAACATCTAGATTTTCTAGTTATGGTGATGCCTATTTCCTTGGATTTTGCAACTATCTAAGATAACCTTAAGAATGATACTTACACTTGACATCTTATGGATCAAATCTATGTAGATCCAACTTCCCACCTTGATTTTATGATGATAGATTAGCTTTTGTAATTTAAGGTTAGTCATTCCAAATGATCCCTAACTTAAGAAAAAGCTTTTGGAGGAGGCACATGGCACTCTCATAAGAGGTCATAGAGGATATTTAAAAATTCTTCAACGGTTGTCTACCAATTTCTTTTAGCCACATACCAAGATGGATGTAAAAATTTATATGCAACATTGTTTGGTGTGTCAACAAAACAAGTATCAAACCTTGGCGTCGACTGGACTTCTTCAACCATTACCTATTCTAGAAAGAATTCGGAAAGATATCTCTTTGGATTTCATAATGGGCTTACCTAAATTTGGTGGATATGATACAACACTTGCAGTGGTGGATAGATTCAGTAAATATAGTCATTTTCTAGCACTAACCCATCCCTTCCTTGCCAAAACAATGGCTACTCTATTTTTTCAACAGGTGGTTCAACTTTGGTGTTTCCCGTTCTATAGTATTTGACCATGACGTTATTTTCCTAACTATTTTTTGGCAAGAATTGTTTCGATTGAGTCATACTTGTCTTCGAATGAGTACAACTTATTGTCCTCAATCTGATGGTCAAACCAAAGTGACTAATCACTGTTTGGAAGCCTATTTGCGATGTTATACTCATGAATAGCCAAACAAATGGAGCAATATGTTTGCTTAGGCAGAGTACTTATTTAATACTGGCTATCATACATCTACTAGCATAACACCTTTCAAGATTATATATGGAGGGCACCCTCCTACTCTTCATCCTGTTGTTCTAGGTCAGACACACATTGTTGAGTTGGAAAAGCAACTACTTGCAAGAGATGAAATGCCAAAAATTTTGAGGAAAAAATTGTTGAAAGCACAAACCCGAATGAAAGCTCTACCTGATTCTAAGTGACGAGATTTAACATTTAAAGTGGGGGATGCAGTATTCCTTCATGTTTAAACTTATTGCCGATGCTCTTTGGTCAAATGTCACCATGAGAAGTTTTCTCCTTATTTCTTTTGCCCTTGTAGAACTGTTTGCAAAGTAAGGCTAGTTGCTTATGAATTGGATTTACCAGCTACATCAAAAGTTCATTCAATATTTCCAGTGTCACTTTTACATCTAGCTTATGGGCATTCCCCATCCAATCCACCACCTATTCTTCCTGTAAATGCAGATTGGGAACTTCTTTTATCACCTAATAAGATGCTAGATCATTGTTGGATAATAGAATCGAGCATGGCAACTTTGGAATTGTTGGTGCAATGACATGATTGTCCTCTTGAAGATGCTAGCTGGGAGAACTATGATATATTAGCAGAACAATTCCCTTCTTTTTGCCTTGAGGACGAGGTGAATTTTCAAGGGGGGGTGCATTAAAAAGAAACCCCTTAATTACATATGTTAGGAAAAAATAGTTAATCCTAGCAAATTAAAAGAAGTTACAACAAGTTATTAGCAGATAGTAGCATATAAATACATTAGAAATTTAAATTAGGGAGTAATTTTTCATATTTGAAATATCTTGTATTGAAGGATTGTCCACTCTAAAAGGACTAGGAATTCTAAGAAATCATTATGAGATTTTTGGTTTAATGCTTCTTAGAATTAATTTGCATTTTCTTCATTTCAATAAATTAGTTTTTATCAAAGATTGTCTGAGGTTAATTTTATATATCCTTCATAAAAGTGATTTCACACCTCAAAACTATTATATTCAACTATTCTACAAGTATATATTCTAACAACAAAAATGACAAGAAGTAAGAGGATGATGTGTTTGTTAGGCTTAGGCTTAGAAAGAAAAAAATAAAAAAACTTTTTTTTTCTAAAAAGAATAAAATTTAAATTAAAAAAATTATTTGTTTAATTAGTCATTAATAGAGGTGTTTAAGGATTTGGTTCAGTTGGTTCAGTTTGGTTGAGTTTTGGGTATTATCCAAATCAAACTAAATATATCAATTTTCAATAACTTTGGATATGATCGGTTTACAAAATGCCTCAAAACTGAACCAAACCAGATTTGTTTTAGTTTGGTTTGACATGATCGATTTTGAATTTTTTTTTTAAGATAATAATTAATTAAATTCTATTTATTGAATTAAAAAAAAGCTCATTGAAGTTACCACAAAATTATTCTAATTTCCTACAATGCCAATATCTTTTAATACCGAATATTTTAAATATAATTAAAAATCTCTTGGAGTAGCACCTAAGAATGGAGACTTATATAGGATTTTATTTTTATTATTAACTATATATTCACACACACACACACATATATATTATATGTAATATTATTAAATAAATTATTATATAGGTAATCAATTTGATTTGGTTTGGTTATTTTTTTTTAATCAATAACTGAATTAAATTAATTAATTTTAATATTTCAAAAGCTAAATTAAACTGATTTCTTTCAATTTTGATTAGTTCGGTTTAAATTGAGTCAGTCATCACAACCCAATTACTAAATTCATGACTGGAAAGAGGATGGCCACTCTTTTAATATTACAAAATAGAATCAATTTGCAAAACAAAAAATTTTTAATTGTCCTCTTCTTGTTGATTTGGTGTACATGAAATCATGTAATTAAATTCATTTCAATAATTAATTTGCATATATAAAGACGCACATTATAAATTTCATATATATAAATTATATTCCCATATCAACGTATAGAATATCATGAGATGATATTTTAATTTTTATATGATATTTAATTCTAATTTATTAATTTATTAATTTATCAACTTAATATATTATTTAATACTCTCATAATAAAATGTTATTTTATTTAATTTATTAATTTTTTCAATTATTTGGCACGTTACGTTAATTCCTTGATAGTTCAAATATCATATATGAGATTTTATGCTGGTCAAAAAAATGAGTTGGTAAATGTTGCTGGCGGCTGAAAGAGCACCGAAGGCAAAACTAGCGGTTTTCCTTTTTATTTTTTTTGGTCAAAGAAACAAAAAAATCGTTCAATATTCAAAATCGGTCGAAGGTCTAATCGACGACTTTCCTTAGTTTTTCGTAATTCAAACCGAATCTATTGCATATCAGGCATCTAGACGGAAGTCTAGTTGATTTATAACAAGTCTACAATCGATCTCCTCACCCAATTTTTGATTGATTCCTTTAGAAAAAAAAAGAAAAAATAATTAAAATTCAAATGTAAAAATACAGCACAGGTTTTTTTTTTTTTTTTTTTTTTAATTCTTAAGTTTGAAAAAGAAAAAATAATCACTACTTAATCTATACTATGTTAAGGTGGACTAAGTCATCTAAAACCACCAATGTTGTAAAAAAAGAGTATTTTAAAAATATAAAGAAGTCTTTTAAATGAAAATAATTCTGAGGTCCACAAAATAAGAGATCTAAATTCAAAAGTTGTGTTACGCTCGAGGAAGCTGTTAGACATGCCAATTGCGCCAATGATCAACACAGTCTTATTCGACGATTTTCTCTCAAATAGTTGGTAATAAGTTTTATTATTTTTTTTAATGAAAATTCATCTGCCCTTGTAGTGTACAATTGTATGCAAGCAAAGTTCAGATAAAATTGATTACTCCAGATTTTACCCCCCTCCGGAAAACTCCAATTTCACCAGAGTGACTTCTAAACCCATAGCAAATTAGTTAACGGTTGAAAAAAATTCTTAAGTTCACTGTTTTCTTATGACGAGTACTAGTAATATTTTTTAATAGTAATGAATGCGTGCGATGCACGAGTATTATATGAACTCATTCTTAGGACTTGTTTAATAATAAAATTCATGATTTAAAAAGCTAAACACATAGATATTTGCAATTTAAGTTAATTTGAAAACGTTCAACATTCAATCACTTTTATATCTGAAAACAAGTAAAAAATAAGACCAGATTTTAAGCAGAACATATTTCACTTAATTACCAAATGTTGAACAAACTTTTATTTTTGTTGCATCTATCACTTATAACTAAAAATTTTAAGAAATTAGCTCTGAATAATTTCAATTCTTAAACTTTTCAACAGTTCATTATCGATTTTATCAAACAGGCCCAATAAGGCCACATAGCAAACTGGAAAATATTTGAAGTCATTTAACTTTTAATTGATTACCGTTACATTACATACTACCGATCATCAGTTTGTTTTAAATACAATAAAAGAACTATACATATTCACGAAAACCTAGTGAAATCTTAATTGTTCATTTTCCCTAATGAAATGATTATCATCGCATGGGTGCAGGGATACTGATAGAACCCATAGTGGAGCAATCTTAGCATCAACATCACCATGACCAACAATATATTCACGAAAACCCCCGTGAAATCTTATTGTTCAGTTTCTCTTAACGAGTCATTATAATTGCATGGGCGCAGGGATGCTGAGAGAACCCATGTTGAGTAATCTTGGCAGTATCTGCACCATCACCATTACCAGAAATTAAACAAAAGTTGTTATATACTAGTGTATGTACACACAACCCAATTGCTTACAGCGATATTTAAAAAATTGTTTAATTAGAAAAACACTATTTCTTCAAACGGCACATTCCACATAAGAAGAGAACCAACCAAACCTACCTCTCCAAGTCGAGCATTTATTTTTAAGGGCACAAAATCATCCGCCCTGGTCACTCCTACATTTACAATTGCAATAGCAGCACCTGCTTCATGAGCAGCCCTACAAACAATACATTTTCAAGCCGATTTAGCATCAATGGTTTTAATTAGAAGCAGATCAACTGAGACTGATTAATAGACCTAGTTAAGCAGTCAAAGCAATATTCTACAAGCTTTTATGCCTTTTTTTTCTTTGGTTGATAGAATCAAAAAGAAAAATTTAGAGATAAAACAGGTGCACGGTGGAGAGATTTAACAAAGCAGGTTCACAAATCAAATAGGCTGGAAAAAAATGCATGGATCAATTCAGTCCAACTCAACCAGCCAAATAGAATCAATATTAAAATCAAATTCAAGAAAAATTAAAATGGTTCAATTCCAGCAGTGATAAGTATGAATAACATGTATATTTCACATTTATCAACCCATGGCTGACAACTGTGGAGCATTGAAGGTGGAAATTAATCTTTTCTTCGCAGATAAATAAAAATTTTATTCATTTAATATTGAAGGAAACAAATGTACAAAACAGTTTTCACCTAACAAGCCTGAAAGCAGACATGGTCATCAGAGATGATCCAAGTACAAGCATGGCATCACATCCTTTTGCTGCTTCCATTGCTTTATCAGCTCTATCCTTAGGAACATTATCACCAAAGAAGACAACCTTCAAAATTATCACACACATAAGAATATCTTAGTCATAGCCTCAGCCTAAGGATAATATGCAATTTCTAGGCTGAAAATTGCCATAACAAACCCAGCAAAGTACATACAAACACAATACATATTAAATAGGAGAAACAATCCAATGCAATTGGACATTGTATACAACAGCAACATAAGAAAACTTGCAGATTTTCTTTATCAGAAAACCAAGCAATTTAGATCAACAAATCCTAAAAACTGCAATAACACAAATTTCCTTTTGGGGTATCATGGATCAGCATCATTTTTTGACTACAACAACTCTCTATTGAATAAGCCTCAAAAGATCACAGAAGCATGCCATTCACTTATCAAACACTAATGACATAATTTTGCCGATTCTATATGGTAAAATTTCGTTATTGTCAGTTACTTCATAGCGACAATCTCGGCAAAATGGTACATGAACCTTTCATGTCCTGGACTATTCTCCCTATTTCACCAACCCTGCTGGTAACAAATTGGAAATATTAAACATAGAAATGCTTGTACATTTCATTCAACCACACATCTCAAGTGCATTAAAAATCTGTCATATTCCCCTTTTGCTACCCAAAAATTTAAAAAAAAAAAAATCTGTCATATATTTGGAAGTGGAAAGCTTGAGGACTTGTATGCAAATACCATTAAACAAAACCCCAGGAGAAACGACCAAAGTTCTCAAGAGATTTTAAAATGGAAATACTAAAAACATTGTACTCTTATATATCCTAAGGTACAAAAATTGATCACTGGTCCCAATCTAGCCAAACAATTGTATCTCATTCATCATCTGGGGAAAGAACGAACCATCAGCATGACTCATGAGAGAGCTACAAGCTCAGAAACTATAACATGCAACAAGAGGACAGATTGGATGAGTCTCTAGTTGCAAGTGAGATTATAACTCAAATTTTCTTCCAGATGCATATGTTAAGCATGCCAAGAAGACATAGCATGGTTATCTAGCTCAATATCTTGACAAGAAAAAGGCACCACAAGCAACATTTTTCTCCAACCCAAGCAAGGAGAAAATCATCTTCTGTCCATTATTTTCTAAAAGGTTTCAGATGTCAAACAATAAAGAGGCTCATGGGAGAAAATCATCATCCGTCCTTTATTTAGTCAACAATTTTTTGGTTCATGGGTTCATCATTTCTTATCAGTATGACCTAATATAAAAAAGTAATTTTCACCCTCTACCACCATGAACTTGTATCATTCCATGACCAAGGTACCAGGCTCCCTGCTTTGCAGAAAGGCTGTTTCCATGACCTGAATCCGACACACAGAGCAATAACTGAAAGAGCAAAACACCTACAATAAGCCAAAATGTCTTACATCAGGTTTGAGCACTCCATTGCATTTTTCACAAGTTGGGATGTGAAAATCCGCCTCCCAAAATTTTTCATCAATCTCAATATCACCATCAGGCCTTTGCTTCATGCCAAAGCTTCTATCTGACTTGCTGTCATAGTCCAAACTTTCAATTGCTGCTGCCCACTGCAGGAATCATTAGAACTTCAATTATGATCCCAAATAAGAGAGGAGCAAATTGAAATGAGTTGAAGGATAGCACTAGTTTCAGTTCTCTTACTATTCAAAGGTAAAAAGTACAACCAAGCATTTGAGAAGTCACATGTATTACCCTTGAATTCAGATGAATGAGCCCAAATTATATGAATAAAACTTGAAGCAAGTGTTAGAAATCTCAATGAATCACTAACAGAACAAGTTTCAAAGATAAATTGTAAAAATTCTTTGAAGCTATGCCACAAAAGGATGGACCTAAAACCATTATGGCATTGTGACACAACTTTAACACTGTAACAAGGTTTTATTGCTCTAAGTTAGCATCCTGATCTGGTTTAATCACATTATTCTATCCCATGATAATTTCACCGACGAAAGAGGAATGAGAATGGGAATGGGAATGGAATGAAATGAAGATTTCTATAAATATGTTTGATGCACATTAATAGAATAAAAATTTTACTTCTATTATTATGTTTGGCATGCTGGAATAGAAGTAGCAAAGGAAACCAAAAAATTGTTCAAAGAGAAAAATATTCTTTGTTAGAAAAATTTTAAAATTAGAAAAAATTTAACTTCTAATATATTATAACATATTAAAAATTTTAAAAAAAAATTTATACTCTATAATTAAAATATTAAATTTTATTTTATATATTGCATTATATTGTATTGTATTACACAACATATATAGATATATATAATATTTGTGTATGTAAATATATAATTTGTTATAATAAAATAATATACATGTAATATATATAATATATATAATATATAATATTATACAATATATACTATTGTTAACTATAGAAAGATAATATTAAGCTTCTATTTTAGATAAGCTAATTAGATCAATTAGAAAATTCTCGGAGATTCCTCCTTTTATATTTTTCTCTAATAGTGTAGGAGCTTTGTATATAAATTTGTGTGTATCATATATTATCAACACAGAGAGATTATTTCTTCTTAACATGGTATTGGAGTGAGGTCAAATATTGTATTAAGGTTAGGTTTCACTATTCGCAAACACCGTCACTGTTGATTGGTGTCACTATTCCGATCTCAACCTAGATCCTTGCTCTTAGTCCTCGTTGGAGCAATCTATTGGAACAGTACTACAGTTGAAACCTTGACGCACTACCAACCAACATTATTCTCCGACACGTGTGACCACATACGCTGACCCCTTTCCAACTGCTCTCTCTTACGCCAGTGTCGCCTCCCTATTTCTAGTCAAATCCAATACGTGATATGTCTAAATCTGGATTGTCAACCCTCAGATCTCACAAATCTCATTCGTCAGACTGAAGATCTGCCATGCCGGCCTTCCGATCTTGTCCATCTTTTATCGTCAACCCCTAGATGCTGTTCACTTGATGTCATTCCTTCCTCAAACAACTTCAGTTTCTGTCGGAGGTTGCTTAGGGTTAAAATGCAAAAGACCTAGATCTAGCATCCTCTCTCATTTCCAAATCTTGATCTAGCATCCACACCTATTTTCGCGTCATACTCCAACTAGACAGAGCTCCCTCGATCATCCCCTCTGCTTGCCGCAATTCTCACACGAGTGCCCTTTCTCTACAAGCCTTTTGCTACAACAGAAGCTGTCCACACTGCACAAGAGAAATTTTTAGGCTGAACCAGCCAAGTTGCTAAACCAGGTTCATGTGAACTAGGTAAGTTGAACCGCTTTTTGAATTCGTTTTCTTGATATAATCTGACCGTGGCTAATGGTTCCAAGGTAACTTCTAATCTCTCTAAGGGTGTCTCAAAAATTGAATCTCCAGTTTTCACCAGTTATGTTAGTGCTTCTATTTCTACTAACAAATTGAATGAAAGTAATTATGATAATTGGGCATCTAATATTAAGTTGCGGCTTACTGACCAAGGCTACGAGGATCATGTTACTAAAAAGACTAAGTCTGTACCTACTAAGGAACATGCCATATGGAAAAAAAATTGATGCTCAGTTATGTAGCATAATTAAATCTACTATTCATTCCTCCTTGAAGTAAATATTCCAAGCTCACTTCACTTGCGAATCTGTATAGGAACAACCTAAGGTTCTTTATACTAATGATATTTAATGGCTTTATAAGATTTGTCATGATCTTATGAATTTCATTGCGCCTTGAAATTTTGATGGCTCTATATCTAGCTATTTGGGCAAGGTTCATGGTGGTCTATATGACTTCAATGAATTGTGGCCCCCTACGGAGATTTCAGCACAAGAACTTGAACAAAGAGGTGCATTTTTTATGTAACTAGCACTATATGATCTGCTTCTAGAATATTCCACTAATCGTGACCAGATTTTAGGCTCTCTCACTGTCCTTACTTTGTCCAAGGTTTGGCCTACTCTTCTTCAAGTTCCAACTAGGTAGTCACCTAATCCTATTACTCCTAACGAGACCTTAGCCCTTGTCTCCCAGAATAACACCCGTGATCACTATTGAGGAAATAATTTTGGAAAATCTTATCTGAAATGTGATCACTACCATCACTTGGATCATACTATTGACAAATGTTGGACTCTACATGGTTGACTTCCACGAACTGCTAATGTGGCCCAGGCAATTCCCTCTAATACACCTGAGCCTTCACACCAGCATCGACCCACTGTAGCTGATTATGAAGATTTTCTGAAGTAGTTTGAGCAACAACAGAATTCTGACTCCATTGCCTCTGCTGCGCACACTAGTAAGTCAGTTGCTTGCCTTTCTTAATCACCATCCCTTGGCCCACGGGTTCTCAATTCTAGTGCATTAGATCACATTTTTAGCAATAAATAACCTTTTCTCTAAACTCTCTCACTTTAACCATTTACCCATTGTTACCTTAACTAATGGTTCCCAAACACGATCTCATGGGATTGGCACTGCACATCCTCTTCCTTTTATGACAATTGATTCTATACTATAAGTTCCAGGATATCCCTTTAATTTACCCTCTATTAGTCGTTTGACACTTTCTCTGGCGAAGATGGCCTCTACTCGGCTCTTTCTATATGTGGCCACTATCCACCACTGGCTTCTTTACCAGTTGTACATCAAAAATACCTTCCTCCATGATGATCTAGCAAAAGAAGTCTATATGAAGTAACCACCTGAATTTGTTGCTCAAGGGGAGTTTGCTAGCATGGTTTATCATCTTCATAAGTCATTGTATGTCCTTAAACAATTTCCTCGAGCTTGGTTTGGTATATTCAGCACTATTGTCCAATAATTTGGTATGATTCGAAGTGAAATTGATAACTCTGTATTCTATCGCCACTCGGCCCAAGGATGTATTTACTTAGTTGTATATGTGAACGATATTATTATCAGTGGCAGTGATTATCACAACATAATTTAGATAAAACAACATCTTTGTCATCATTTCTAAACCAAAGACCTTAGTAAACTGTGTTATTTCTTGGAAATTGAAGTTACACAATCCAAGGATGGTATAGTTATCTCATAGAGAAAACATGCTATGGATATCCTTAAGAAACTAGTCTGTTAGACGCAAAATCCACTAACATTTCCATGGATCTAGATGTCAAGCTCCTATCAAATTAGGGGGAGCCTTTATCAGATCTAGGAAGATGCAAGAGATTAGTCGAAAAATTAAATTCCCTCACAGTAACATGACCAAATATCTCTTTTGTAATCAGTGTGATCAGTCAATTTTTAAATGCACCTTTTGAGGATTATTGGAATGCGGTAATTTGTATTCTAAAGTATATTAAAGGAGCTCCCAGTAAATGCCTCATTTATGAAGACAAAGATCACACTCAAATTCTTGGATATTCAGATGCTGATTGCGCAAGTTCTCCTGACAATAGAAGATCAACTTTTGAGTATTGTGTATTCATTAGGGGTAATTTGATCTCACGAAAAAGAAATAAACAAAACGCAGTTGCAAGATCAAGTGTCAAAGCAGAATATCGTGCCATGGCCTTAGCTACTTGTGAACTTATCTGGTTAGAACATCTTAAAAAACTTAAATTTGGAGAGCTTATGCAAATGACACTTGTTTATAATAATTAAATAGTGTTGCATTTCTCTTCCAATTTGGTATTTCATAAGAACCAAACACACCAAAATAGATTATCACTTTATCATAGAAAAGATTGAATCAGGAGACATCACTACTCGATTTGTTAATTCAACTAATTAACTAGAAAATATTCTCACTAAATTCCTAAGAAGTCCTAAAATAAGTTATTCATAATCTATATGCTCCAGCTTAAGAGGGAGTGTTAATTATGGAAAGATAATATTGGATTTCTATTTTAGATAGGCTAATTAGATTAATTAGAAAATTCTTAGAGATTCTTTCTTTTATATTCTTTCCTTATTAGTGTAAGAGCTTTGTATATAAATTTGTGTGTATCATGTATTATCAACACAAAGAGAAATTATTCCTTCTTAACAACTATAATATATTAATATATAATATTAAAACTACTTATAATTTTGTCATTATTTAAAAAAATAAAAGGTAATATAGTAATTGTGCAAGCAAGTAATGGAATGGAATCTGGATTCCATCACTCTAGTGATGAAATTCAGATTATCTCATTTGATAGAATCCTAATTTCCGGGGAAATCAGAATTCCCATTCAAAAGTACTTACTAAACATGATTTTTCAGGATTTCCATTCTCATTTTCATCCCATCAAAAGATTCCATTGTAACATACGTCACCTAAGAGAAGAATATATAAATTCTAGAAGTAGCAAGATCCCTCTTGTTCACTATATATGTGCCTAAGAACTATTAGGATGAAACAATTCTTACATTAGCAAATCTTATTACAAGATGACTTTTAAAACCCTTAAATCTCCAGATCACAAAAGAGTTGTTAAGGGACACTCGGTTCTTTTATTGTTCCCAAAGGAGTTTGGTTGTGTCTCTTTTGTTCATGATCACTGAATGCATATTAGTAAGCTTGATCCACGTGCTCTTAAGTGCATCTTTGTG